AGCACATGAATAGCTTGGCGCAAAGTAAGGCGTGGTCGGATTCGAGGGGAGTGCTCCAGTATGATCGGCAGTCTTTTATACAACCCCGCTATTTGTATCCTACAGCGATGTGGTCGATCTGTGTCCGTATCTGACTCGAGGAGGGCGGATGTCAAGTGGCGTACTGGCAGTTGGAACGTCTGAAGTTCGTACTGGCGAGGAATAGGCGATGGTCGGAATAAAGAGCCAACAACCGTTCCCATTTTCCGAGCGACAGGAATCTAGTCCGAAAGGACCACCCAGATGCGCCTCACTCGAAGTCAGTCGGTCCACTCTAGCATTCATATCTCCTGCTAAAATCACNGGGATCCAGTCCAGGAGCGCGGCTTCAGCTCTCTCACTGAGAGCCACGCCGACTCCAGCGAGACCGGCAGCCGCAGCCTCAGGGTCCCCAGAGAGGCGTAAGTGAAACTTCACTGATGGGTTTGATGGGGATGTCAATCAGATAATGGAACTAGAGTCTTGAATGTCAGTTTCTTGGATGCAACACACATCGATGGCTAGGGTCTCGAGGGTACGAAATAAACCGTCCTGTTGCCCTATGCGCATCAGAGTGCGCACATTAAATGTTGCTAGTTTGAATGGACATCGAGGACGAAGAAGGGCTTCACCTGGTGGGAGAATCGGTGAGACTTGGACGGTAGTCGAAATGGGAGATGAGGGAACAGCGGCAGAGTTTCCATCTGAGGCACTAGTTTTTGCACGATCGTCTGAAGAACCCGATAGAGGAGGTGAGTTAAGAGGCTGAAGGTAGGTTTGGGTAGGGCTGGGGGGGGACATGAGTGTGTGAATGGTGCAGTGTTTATCTGTAGGTGTGAAATGGCAGACTGAATGCATATGAAAGTCAAAGAGTTCATTATTGCTGGCGTTGTGGGCTGTTGTACTACTCTGTCGACCAGTCCAGAGTAGGCGTTGTTCGAGGGTGCACTCTAACCTTTGTGCAACCAAGCGCGGATTGCAAGGCAGCAGCGATAATTCAGATGAGCCGGTGGCAAGTAGTTGGTTCATTCGCCTCTTCTGGAAAAACCTTGTCGAGAAATGGATCACGACAACGAGCAAGGGCCATATTTAGTTGCGGGCCACACTCGCCACGTTACAGCGCTGTCCACAGATATATGTGGTGTTTTGTGCGGTTAGTCGTGAGATGACGGCCGTTCCCCTATCCGCGACCTGGGAACGCGCTCGGTAGTATACAGCTCTGCTCTCCCGAATCATGTGTCACTGTGGTGGATTCATGATTATGGTAGAAGGCCTAATCTCCGGGGTAAAGTGGGACTATTCTAGCCGCTTAACACGATCTTTGTTTTTTACGATCTGAAGGCACCGAGTTGATTGTTTCGCAAGCTATTAATCTCCCTTTTTTTTCGACCTCTATTTTTGGCATTCACCTCCCTAATTGGCATTCTCTTATCTCCCATCTTCGTCCACATCTCTGATTTTGTTGTCACTATTCAGGCCGCTCTTCAACTTCTTTGTGTGCTGATTGAGACTTCGCGTCAAACTGTAAGCAATTTGCTTATCCAACGCCTCTTCCCCGTCGTTGTGCACATTGCTATAGCTAGTACCGACTCGATGGTCATCTCGGTGAGTCACTCTCCCTTCTGGCTAATGTTGTGAATGTTCAATGTGAGTATTGAAGACTTATTTTTCCCGTTACTCAGAATATATTCAATCGGCGATTCCACTGAGTTCACTGCTTGCAGCTTTGTCATCGAGAGTGTTAGCAGACTTCGGTGCACTGATGCTTCGACCAGCCTACTAGGTTCATCACGCACCGTTTCTTCACATTTATTGTTGTATTGTTACATTCACCCGCCAGTGTAGTACGAGCTAGTTGCTAGTACTGTGTATGTGTACGAAAGGAAACCGTCCGGGAAAAAAGTTAGGTATCAAATTACAGAAGGAAACTGTAAGGATTCTTTCTTCTGTTATTATTCTAACTCCTACTTCTTCAATGTTTTTTTATCTTTTTCATTTTCTGCGTTAGTTGACTTCGGTTTTCACAGGTATTCTCCATAAACTTCCACAACACTTGTGCCACCGTTTTGGAGTTCAAGACTTGTTTTCGAGCCTTTCGGTTGCACACCATAAAAGCCAACCGTAATATTTCATTCACTCATCGTAAAGGTCCCTCGCAATCAAGGAGTGCTGTAACAAAATGAACAGGTGCAGGAATATGGTTAAACATATTAGGCGATATTTCTCCCATCAACGTCTACCACTGGGCAGATTTCTGCTGTCGGTTGGTCTCCCACATGAATCAATGGATGGATCAGTTTACCACTGGAATCCGCCGCTTTCAAGATTTTGACCGAATAGATCAACTAAATCAACTTGCTAGCGGATCATCTTTAGCCTGAAGTTAATCCATGGCAATAATTTGTACTTTGATAAATAACCTCAATCGGTTTGGCAATAGGTTCAATTTTGTGACAATATCCTTTCCGTAATTCGTCGCCCATTAGGATGCACGTTTAACTCACATGTGTGTTGTGTCGGTTGCACTGTGAATTTCACCAAAATCTATACTGTCGGTACAGACATCCGCCAGTCTTTTCTATCGAATTTCTGTTCTCTGTTGACAGGGCTGTTGTGAAGTTCTCCGATGTTATCTAGCCGTTGGAGTGGATCGAGTACTCGATTGGCACGATGACGAAGGTGGGTCGTCGAGTTCTTAATGCCAACATACATACATACATACATACATACATACATACATACATACATACATACATACATACATCTATTCCGAATTCCATTCTCTTCAGATTGACGAGAATTTAAACCGGTCTATCAACACATCAGGTAGCGTGTAATGTTCAATATCTTTTATCCTTTGCCTATTTCATTTTAACCAATAGCTTCACTCGAACTATTTTCAAACTGTTTCGCTCTGATAGACAGCTGCATCACCATTCACGATTGGACAGTTTAGAGTAAAGTTTTGAATATTTTTTTCTTTACACGAGCAAATAAATATGCATTTAGGTACTGTCTATTGTACAATACTCATTCAAAATATGGAGATCTATTTTTATTGTTGTTAGTTTCAACTGACCCTCGAAAAATTAGCCAAGCATAGCAATGCTTTCTAAATGAATTACTTATAGAGGGCCGCCGGTATAACTATCCTCTGTGATAAAAATTGGTAATTTGCTGAAAAAGATGCATCTCAGGCAAAATGATATGAAATAATGTGTGAAATAGCAAGGGTGAAATTCCATCGGTTCTATAAACTTAACATCCGTATCGATCTATAATTTATTTGACTTACCTGTGTCTGTGCCAAGGATGGTATTAGTTATACCCTCTTCCTGTTACACTTAGCACAGGACTGAATGCGAATACATATACAGATCTCTGTGTGTGTGTGGTCAGTGAACGGGTGTGACCGTGATTATTGCCACGTGATTCGTTGTTCGATTACTGCTACCTGTTTTTAGCTTTCGGCCCTATTTCGGGAACTCTGTTCTGATCGATTCGCATCAATGAAAAGTACATCGCATAATTTGATCATAAACTTGGTCGATTTTTTTATCAACCACCCGTTCAGACCATTTTCAGTGTCTTTTTTGCTTAATAACTGTTGTTCCCTCGTTCTCTTTCGCGTGCAATTTTAGTGCGTGAACGATGGCACTGCTCTGTGTGATTACAGTAATTGATTTCACCTATTGTTGTTACTGTGTATAATGCGAAGAGCAGCGGGCAAGGTAGACTCCATCGTCACGAAATTTTTTTCCTTCGTCAATAGAAACCGATAACCTGATTATCAATGGCTGGATAAGTAAACCAGTATTGTTCCTCATTTGATAGAATAGACTGGCTATTTGGCTAGGGAACAACAAGACCAAGTTGTATGACATTGGCCGGATTCGAACCAGTACGTGACACTAATTGTGCCCGAAATCACCGTCACGTAAATGGTAAGTCAATGGAGAAAGTATTATAATGCGGTCGTGGTCCGGTGGTAGTCTCCAATTATCACCCCGGAGGACGTTTGTTCGAATCCCACCACCACCGTCTGACGTTTCCCGCTGTGTTGTACAGTAGCCCTCCCATTGGCCGCTTCTCTCTTCCTGAATATTGTATCCCTATTTATGTTTTGCGTTCAGCCGGGTTGACACGAACCCGCAAGAGCGTAGTCGCTGTCACCTGGACTGTAATTGGAGATTGAGAAACTATAAATTCGACTAGTTTACGAAAATGGAAGATCAATCGATTTAATTCACTGGATCCCTGGAGAAAAGTGTGCATGTGACTTATCTCATGCCCTCCGACAGCATAATTGAACTATTTGTTTGTGACGGCCACGTATGAACTGTTTCACGCGTTGCTTTTCACGAACTGGCCCTATCGATGTTTCTGCTGATGTGTATATGTGATGGATATAACCCTTGCCCACCTTTTGGTTGATCAATAATGCATTCTAACTCGTGGTGTGAGTTCTGTGGCCTGTACCAATTTGGAAACGAACCCTAATGCGGATTCTTTTCTCGCTCTCAACTCAGTGCCTACAGCCTGCTTGTTGGGGGTCTTAAATGACCGCCTCTTTGTTTGAACGCTTGACGCACATTGGATACACGATGCTGAATTCTGTGGACGTCCGGTGCATGTGGCTGCCTGTTCTGTTCCCAGGTTTAACCCGCATTGTCTTTGTGCACACACATAGTGACGAGGTCACGCTTGTCACGCACCCATGGAAGACGCGATGACTGAACAAAGCTTTTATTGATTGCTCTCACAGTGTCTTGTTTAGGGTCACTCAATCGTTCGTGCACATGCTTGCTTTTGGTCGTGTGCTTGTCAGGTGTGTGTGTGCGTATGTGATAGGTTTTAACGCGTATCGGATAAGTTCACATCTATCGCTCCGTATCGGCTTATCACTATGCGCTAGTGGCACCGTCTAAGTGTTTGATCTGCTACCGGTCTGTTTACATTTATCCCTATGGTCTTACAGATCCATACCTGGACCCTTCACGTCCCTTGCCTCAACATGAACGGATTACTCTGGAGGTGGCTCTAACTTAGGACGTAATGGAATTTGTCAGCAGAGTCCCCGAAACTAAGGGGTTTAACGTTTCCTACTTTAGTGTATTCTTGAATCGGCTAACTTTCTATTCCACAGCAGTATCCTCCAACAAATGAGAAGAACACAACGATGGAGAAAGAGCATGATCCTGTTTAGGATGCTTCTATTCCTAATTCAACTTTTTCAACACTGCTATCATCTTTTTTATCCCACGCCATGTGTAGTGAACGACAGGCGGAATAAACCCCCGTAATCACTAGAACTTACTGTTCACTGATAGTAACCGATGAACTGAGTTCTAAAATTTTGAGTGGCTCACCACATAAGGGTCTACCAGGATAGGTGCGACATTGAGGTGGATATCAACGTAGCCACCTGCTGTATGGCAGCCACAGTGTTCGAAAGTAACTTTATGGTCCAGATCACACTGGTGACAGCTACTGAATCCGCTTGAACACCACCACCCAAACCGTCAAGACATCTGTTGTGCATGCACGGTTCAGTTGTTTTTCGGCAGAGTAATTAGCAGTTCAGTGTGTTCACTGAACCGCGTGTTTGATAACGGATAGCCATCGGTCATTCAACACACTCGAACGTTCAATCACTTTGTGCATTACTTTCGATTGAGCACATGATCCAGCACCAGTATTGCTCTGCTATCTGGAATGAGGCTGACAAGTGTGCAATAAATTGAGAGTGATGGGCTCATCAGACATTCTGTGTATCAACCAGTAGGAACTGGGTCCTCGCCAGTAGGATATCCATGCGTTCTTGTTGGTTTCCGTTGCACGGAACCATCTCAATTTTTTCCATCTGTCGAAACCGTTCCCGTTCACTTTATCCTCCATAATTTCATCTTCCTTACCGTGATACAGTCCGGCTGTTTTCTAATTATAGAGTCGGCTTTTGTGCGGATCACATGCATACAAATGCAAGGTTGAACATTCTCTTGGGGCTAGGAATACAACGATCACTCTGGTCCCGAAGCGTTGTTTCTAAGATAACGGGATGGAACAAAGCTTGAACAATTAAATCCGTAATAACGATCTAACCCTCATCACGCAAACGTTTAACAAGGCTCACAAGTCCATAAAGTTCACCCCAGAGGCAGAGAAAAATAACAAAATAGTATTCCTTGACGTAGCTCTGCACAGAAAAGGAACGTGCACCGGACAGTACACCAACTTTCACAGTTTCGTGCCGCTTATGCAAAAGAGAAACCTCATTCAGTGTCTTGTCGCGCGTGCACGAAAAATATGCTCTGAATCCACATTCGCAGACGAACTTGATCAGATTAAAAACATTCTAAGGGAAAACGGATACCCTGAAAGGTTCATAGAGAAAAACTTAATGGGAAAAATGAAACACGAGCCTAATCAGGAAGCTCCGAAGAAGCAACTGTTTATTAAACTGCCATTCAAAGGAGACAACCTGTCTGATCTGATTAGGAGACATTTAGCGCGTGCTGTGAGAGTAACCTTCAATACCGCCAGGTTGTCATGCGTCACTGGCCCACCAATAATAAGAACACCCAATAAAGACAGTCTGCCTACGCTGGCCTCATCTATGGTTATATGTTCCTTCAGCTGCGTTTGTAACGCAACCTTCATTGGCCGAACGGCGAGGCAGCTGTCTCAGTGGATTAAATAACACTGCCCACACTGGCTTCAACACGGTGGAAAAGGTGTCACAGGAAGCGCTATCCTCGCTCACCTAGCAGACCCAGGTCACCAAGTGAAGCCTGAATCAGCCTTCAAAGTCATCTATAGAGTAGCACCTCACCCATCCAAGTCGCTGCGTCTCCACACCCTAGCCGCTGCGGAAGCGATTGACATTCGTTTATTCAAGCCCAATCTATGCGCACAGAAGAGATTGGCCAATGCTATTCACCCACCGTGGCCAAAGATAGATCGCACGGATGACGCATCACAGTTTGATTGCAGTGTTGTGGTGATCTAGGGGTGTGAAACACGTCGCACCCACTCCTACCCCATTCCTCTCCCTTTCAATCAATCACCGTGACTTTTGAATGTATGAATGTCTATCCCCGTCCAAAATGCCATTTTCCTATTTGCTCTGTACAGGCCAGAAGATGAATCAATGAAAAGAATTTTTCGTCTCTAAATTCGTGTTCTCAAAATTTTATCCGGAGAAAAAATCAGATGAATTTGCAAATTAACTGATGTCCTTGACAATCTGGAATAAAGACTGAGACTCGCAGTCTTGCGCAATATGCATCTTGAAATCGCAAATGCCGATCTGTAAATCAAGGGCAACATTTTTGTGTTTGAACCGTTCTCTGTAAACCATATCCAGTTGACCAATGTCTAATCTCATCCACTGGACCTCATCTTATTCCTTTGCTTTTATGCGACTGCAGTTCAACGGTAAAAGGTGACAGTCTGATTGAGAAGCATCAAATCCCTATAGCCCATGACATTCGTATATGACAGGTGGCCACTGGATCTAATTCAATTTCCACCGATTTTTCCCAATGTCGTTAGCTGCTGACTCATCGTGCTCCAGTGTGTTCTGTTTGGTCTCAGGAACGACACCAAATTATCGTCTGTCTTTTTTCAAATGTGGTTGATGTGGCACCTCTTGTCGAAATACTCTGGACATCGAAAATAAAAGACCTATCTCTTGTGTCTAGTTCAGTAGGACAACCGTTAACGCTCACTGTAAATGAAGCCAGTCGTCTCATCGCACTGGGACCTACGTTACATGATTCAACGACCAACGTTCACATACTTCATTTGTTCCCGCATGTGCGTGTATGTGAATGGGATATGCGGGACGAGTTCTCTGTTGGTTAACCCTTGTACCAAATGTCGCCTGGTACTTTTTGGGTACTTGGTTGCTATCGGAAGATGGAGAGACACGCGGCAGACGTGGTATAACCTTAGGAGACTGAATAAGAAACAGCGCTCTAACGTTCCACAGCTTTATTTCACCCTAGTGTCCACTGACTCATTCAGCTGCTTTCTTAAAAGCACAACTACTGAATCCTAAATGCAATTCCTCTACCAAGTGCGGTTAACTTATTTGTTGTGATTATATCCCTTAAAATTGGTTTCTGATCCATCCACAAGCAGTGGGCGCACAGCTTGAGATTCGTTGATTTCGCGTACATACCGGAGTATTGCGAACAATAGAAGGAATAAAATTCGTATTCAAGAACTTTTCTTACAATGGTAACCGAACACCCCAAATTTGTCACTTAGATTAAAAGAACCCCAATATGTCCCCATAAGTTTGATGGAGATGGTCTCGTTCAGAAGCGAGTTGGATATGCTGAAGCCCCGTGTCTTCTTAAAAATACGTCCAATTCCCATCCTCCTTACGCATTCTGACTTATCTTGTATACATTATAAGTTTGGCAGCGATCAATGAAAATTGCTTCGCCTTGTTAGTCTGTACAGTGATGAATGATACTTTTAGGGCTGTAAGATCACTTGCCTGGTGGAAACTCACCACGTCTTCAGACAGCATCGGTCTTCCTCCACAAGCGGTAATTCAATCACATCATGTCCGCCTAATCACAAGTGAACAACCGTCTCGGTGATCGTTCTCATATTCGCTGTCTGGTGACGCTCTCGTAGATTTGGGGTGACCTATACTCTCTGGGGGCATCCATGTGTCTGATTGTTGTGATTTAACTATTCACTCACCTCTGTCACCATTCAGCTGAGGTGAAACACGGACAAATCTTTTCGTCAATCGCTAGCACCATTGATGGGTCGATATCCCTTTCCTAATAATTGTTTGTCTCACTGTCTAGTTCATATACCATGTCAAAAGATTTTTTATTCGGATGCACTTACATTGATGTGATCATTTTTTTCTTATCTTACAATATTTCCATAGACAATGTAGGAAATATTTTTCGCGAAGAAATTTCTTTTCCATATATCGCATCAGGCGGTTACATATATGATGCGATCATCGTATAGATATCTGACTGGCCGATTTAAGCTCAGTTTATAACGATGCCGAGGCCAGTAAGCAGAGCAAGAGAATATGCCAAGGCTAGTGATATTCTATGTCATAGATGGGGGGGGGGATGAAATGGTAAAGGTCAAGTTGAAAACGGTAGAAAGATGAGCAGATTGAAATGGAGTTTGTGAGATAAAATGAGACGTACTCGGTGTTGTCCGTGGACATGTCGATACCTGTTGATCATCAATTCTATTCGGCTCTTTCATCTTAATAAAACAGTCCGATCCTCACTTCTCATTTACGATAGATTCTCTGTTTCCGGCTTTGATACTGCCGTTTCCATCATGCGTTAGAAGCATTAAGCTGTAAATGGTGTTACTGAATGAAAGGCGGTCGATTCTGTTTTGGTCTATCAATCAATTCTGCATTGTTTGTCATGAAGATGCCAACCGAGGCACACACCCCTATATATAAGCGGCCTTTTCAAGACGTATTTGAACTAAGTGTTTACACTTTTATCCACCGGCGATTGCACCGATTTATCTGTTCGGAAGGAAATATGGAAGTGAAATCACATGAACTATCGTCGATCGTAGCGACGGTACAATGGCATTGAGATGCAAACAAGAATAGTTGTTCTAAGGCATAAGCGTATGTGCACGTGTGAGGTTAGATTTTGTCAAAATGTGCGTACTATCATCTTTCCTTTTTACTCTGCTCTTTCGTCTCCCTCTCCCGTTTACCGACATCACACATAGATACGCTAGTAGCTTTTGCAATTNTTGCAATTTATATTAAAAAAAGATTTTCACTTCAGTGATAACGTTCTCCTTTGTTTGTGTAAAATCGTAACCTCGCGCAACACTCAACGATGCGTGAATCTCACCATGTATCTAAATTCGCCTCCATTGCAGCCAAACCTTCACGGCCATTCCATAAAACAAAGCTTAGCGAGTTGGGTGGGTGGGTGGGTTTTGACCTTCTGTCCGTTCGTTGGTCGTGATTTATACATACGAACTTTTCTCCGCTCTGGTCCCTTTAGGCAATAATGGGATCGGATACATTCTGCATGTGACCTCACGACTGCTCGATCCCACCGGTCCGCTCGAACATGCTACGTCCGGCGGACGACTGGTTTGTGCTATCCTCATGCGGTTGCAATCACACCAGTTGGGCGAGAATTTGGATCTCTTACTTCGAGGTACACTGGCCCGCTTGTCCACATTGCCGCTTTCCGGGATCACAGGCACACCACAATCGGACGGTAAGCCGTTTCGCATTCGCATATGCCTCCTTTATCTCGATATGTCACTTATCGAATCTGGATTGTTGCCGTCGTGTCCGCCCCAATGCACGGCTGTTGCTAACGCAATAAGGGCCACATCATTATCGGATGATGAAAAAATAGGCCTGAGCGTGTTAAATTTATGATTAATTTTGCATAACCGTATAAAGGGATACATAAAATATAAAGATCAGTGTCAGTGGGGGCAGCAAGTCGTAATAAAACCAAATCCCAAGCTGTCGAAAGCTCCTCGCTTTTTCTCACTGAATATTTTGTACGTTTTTTCCACATTTCACTGAAATTCATCACGCGTCTCATCTTCTACGACCTCCGATCATTACGGAAGAAAAAGGCCACAATGACTCGTGATTCGACTCCACACGAGCTGCCCACCGAATTCCAGATGTTTTCAGCTTACCCAACTGTATGATTTCAAATTTCGACTTAACAAAGCTGCGTGTGTGGTTACTGAACTCGTCAACAGTATGATCTCGGCAACTCTTAATAACCTTGATTATGAACCGATAACCAACATTCTGAATACGAAAAATAAATGCAAATCCAGGACTAACCGAGCCACTGCCTCCGAAAGCCTCAGTATGGTCGGGGGTGTGTGTGAAGTTGTGGCTGGNCCCTTGCATCTCACGAGATGCTCCCATACGACCAGGCGTTTCAAATAGCTTCTACTGATCACCTAGGGCGCTTGACCCCGTCCAATGAACTGGACACGGGCCTCCAATTGACTGTGGTCTTCACACTCCTCGCTGCCTTTCAGGTCAGGCTTTGGTCAGTCGAAGGCTCTGATTGTTAACTCTTTACGACAAGTCACGTGTTTTGGCCCGGGCAACATGGCAGTATCGTGCCCTCCAGCAAATCATGGACATTTTTAACGGTTATTGCACCGTGCTTTTTGGCTCAGTCTGAACTCAGACGTGTGTGAAAATCTATAAACGTATTACCTAACCGCTGCTGCGGTTTGTTGCCGCTTGTGGATACAACCGGAGTACGAAAATGCCAATTAACTTGTTTTTAACCGGTCTGACCTGAAAACGCATTCACCAGCATTTACTCAGCTCATGATGTCGTTGTTTTCAGAGAATCTATACGACTAACGCTTCGGAGGATAGAAAAAAGGACACAATCCGAAGTTCTCCGACAATTTTATTCCATGCCGTACAGTGTGATCGTTCAAGTTGATAACAAATTATGATAGTTATGATGAGGTCAATAATAGAAATGCTTTCCCACAATTTGGTTTTTGTATCATCAGTCGCACCCGGTTTGAAAATTCTACCCTGACCGTTTTCGCTCTTTCATTCCATCTCACGAAACTATACGTTGGTCAGGACTAACCTTGTTTGTATACTATCACCTTGATCGATGGACATGCAATACATAAGCGATGGATTGATGGAATAATGCACTGCACAACAACCAACCAATTTCACATCACATGGCTTAAATTCTTTTTGTGGTTTGAGACGTGCCCATGCTTACAGAGGCTAACCTTGGCCTTGCGTCACGCGGCTGATCACGCGAACCATTGTGATTTGATCATAAGACACTGATTAGCCCGGCGTAAAACTTCTGAACTGGATTTGCGAACCCGTTCTCCACGGAAAAGAGATCAAGCAGACGTGCATAGCATAGCAAAGTGCAGGGCTGCTGTACGATTGGTACCGGATATCCTTGTTGTTTTGACCTGCATCATATATCTTTGACCGATGTTCAACTTGATTAGATTAGTTTGGTACATAGCACTTGAAAGCACTGCAGTTCAGTTCTTATAACTAATAATTATGCACCTTTATGTGGCGGTTGCTGTCTCATGACTGTCCATTCGGATAAAAGAACAGAAGGAATATTGAAATGTTGAGATCTGGATCAAGGGGAATATAGAGATCCATATAGACTAGGGTTGCAAGGATAAAGAATAGATGCACGAACGCAGTCTATAGAGGTAGACCATTTGCTCAAGTGGGCGTCCGCGCTTGCCTAAAACTCTGCTTCTGACCTCATTCTTGCTGTGTAGACAGCGGTGTTGGAACATCGACAGTCTATCTTTTTCCTGTTTCCGTAATGGTCAAGTCTCTGCATCGTAAAGCAACACTAGCTGAACGGCTGCTGCATACACTTTACAGAAAACCGGATGTCACGAAGGCATCCCAGATGTCTCTAGTTTGACGAATGACAATCAAACCTTCTGAATGCGTGCTCATACTCCATGTATCCGCCAGGTGAGATACAGATGCACAAATAGCAAATGTTTGAAAGCGGTATCAGCATGTCTTACTCTAAATAGACGACAGTGCTGACCCGGATGATAGTAGTCATGTTTATTTAGAAGCTCAACAGCAAGCAATATTTCATTTTTATTCGTGTAACGTACTAGACAGCCGTGAGAGGTTAGTTTTTGAATAAGAAATGTATAATTTTCTTGGTTGTCCATTTTGGAATACATGCTTACAGGTAGATAAGACAGGAACACTCCCCACTTGATCACATAGCTTCACTTAGTCTATACTCGAGAAAGCACAACACATCTTTGTTAGTTTGTTAGGAAAACCTGAGCCTGCTCATTCTCTAGGTTTATGACTCGATCGAGAATCAACGTGTTCGATGATGAAACGCTTCACCTTTAAGGTTTTTATTGTACCACATTCATCCCTGTCTTACCTTAGATTCCGCATTCGCCTAACCCCCGCACTTCGAGTTCCTATTCGCGAACGGCAGCTTTTGTTCCTCATGTTCCGCACCGTATGGAAAGAAATAAGTTAATCTATTGACTATACTCCTCTCTCATCCAATCCCTTTCGAATAAATCTGACTCTACACAAGTAACAACAACTGTATCGTTGTTGTTGCCGTTGTTGATCCATTGTCCGTCTGGGAGAATGAGTGCCTGTGAATTTTACAAATACATCCAAACCGGAATTGTATGTGTGTGTGTGTGTTCGTACCCGTGCGCATGCGCATGCGTCCCTATCTGGCAGGGTTTTGAGATCGGAAAGCTCTCTGGCTATCCCATGATTAGAATCAGGCCCATCAGTCCGTCAGTTCATTAATTGTTTGTCCCATCCATCTGTTTCAGTTAACCTAGCCGATCGATTTTTGTTTGTTTGCACAACGGTACGTAGTCGAAATCAGCCAGCTGATTGACGAACTACGATGGTTGATATCCACAACTGGATGGACTACTCTTTGAGTTGCTGGTGAAATACGTCAGGTTATTTTTATATTTGGTTCGGCTTCTTTGGCCTTTCCATTATCTATTATCACTTCGACACTGATCCGAACATTCCAATCTTTCCTTTACTCCTTTATCCATGTGGGAAGTCATGAGACAACGACCTAAACGGACGCATGAGAGTTCTTGGTTAATGGTTCTAAAAACTAAAACTTCAAAAAGCACATTTTTGGTACCATTCGCCAAATTTGAGCGGTTGATACTCTCTTTGCAAACTGAAACTGAACTGATACTCTCTCTCGCTATATATATACATATGAAACAAATATCAGTTGGGGAAAACGCTTCCTGTTTATCCCATATATACTGCAAAATTTTAACACCCCCAATCACTGTGTTGTTCCCCATTCCCATCATGGATTAGTGTCTGGCGGTCAAACTGTGGACGAGTGGGATTCGGGAAGTGTGCGCGGGGCACGACAGAGTCTAGTTTTCGTTTTTGTTCTACTCTTCCGTTTGCAACCTGAAGCTGCAATCCACTTCCTGGCCAGTGTACCCGATCTCAACGGACAACCGGTAATGGCAACTATCCTTAGTCTGTGGTGTGCGTCACAGCCGTTTTATTTCGCTCGAGCGCAAGTGCGAATTAGGTAAGTTTGGCTCTGCATGTATGGAGTACCGTTTACACGAAATCAGAACATCGCTATCACTGAGTTGTGGTTAAACTTTGTAAAATTCATTTAGTACATATTGTTAGCAAGTCTAA